CTTCAGCTGCAGGGGTGGTAAAACTGTGTATGTATGGAGTAGAGACTCTTGTCAGTGCAGCTTGGGGTGCAAAAAACCACGTGGAATCCTGTCACCGGGTGGGTTTTGTCTTCCCTCAGAAGCTGCGATGGTCCCAAAATTTCCACCCTGTGCTGGCACTGGAGCTGTGCCTGCTTTTCAGTCATTTCCACCAGTTAAAAGGAATCTGAGTAAGCACAGATGCAAGACCAAAATCTCACTGCCTCCCTTGTCGCTGTAGCTAATGCCCAGCTATAGTACCGAGAATAATTTCTGATTTGATGCCTGTCAGTATCTGTCATTCTGAGCTGATGCTGTCATGAATATTAAAATACTGGTTTTGCAATGCTTTATGCTTATTCTAAGGAAAATTTCTGATAACCATCACAATTTGAAGTTTTGTTTCTTTCCTCTTTCCCTTACGCTACCTTTACTTTTTTATTTATTAGTTCATAATTTGAAACCGGCAGACATTCGGGTGATTGCTGCCCTGGGAGATTCACTCACAGTAAGTAAATATCACTGGATAACCATCGTTAAAGCAAGTAATGAAAAAGCATTTCTGAATTTTTAACCTGAGAAATAGAATACGTACAGTTACACCCTATTGAGCCAAACACATTTTTCATGTATTCTTTTCCATACTCCACCTTAACTGACTGGTAATCAGATCATGAGTCTAATCTGAGTGCACAGTTCCCATTTAAAGTCCGCAAGAGTGCCACACAAGGAAGAACTGCAAGATTAGATTGTGCAGCAGCAAAACCAGCCTGCTAGAGTGGGCTTGCAACAATTGCTTTTCTTTACCGATTCTAGGCAGCTCCCAAGGTATTGGCCTCCAAAGCTATTAGTAAGCAGCGTAAATAGAAAGAACAAATTCTGCAGCTAATTGTGTGTATATGTATATATATATGATATGAGGTGTATATATATGATAAGGGACAGATATATGAAAATACCAAAGCCTTTAAAGCCATTGAGTGAAAGTGCAATAGATCGTCAGGTGTGTCAAGGGTAACTTATCTTGAGATTTTTTTTTTTAATGCTATTCCTGGAACTACATAAACTCATTACCTCTAGGCTGGCTGTGATTCTCCAATCAGTGACGAATGCTTCACTGCTCATATCATAATTCATGTTTCTTATGTGTTCTGTGCTAATTACCACATTAAATCCTTGTAGTCTCCTTTCTTGGGGAAACTGGGGGAGGGAAGACATAAAATCACCGTACCACTTTTTAATGTGAGGAACATTATAATAAATTATTCATTCAGGACCATTGCTATCTTATTTATTCCTTATGTAAATTTAGAATTATATGAATATTTTGAACATTCTCAACCAATTTTTTCCCCACTTGATCTAATCAAGAAGTTGATAGAAGAGGGTAATTCACTGGAGCAGAGTTAAAATACCCTCAGTCTTTGATCCTCTTGAGACCAAGGATCTGTTATATTTTGGGAAGATGATGTAGCTTGCTTCATTAACATCCTCTTTAATTATTTTCACTAGGATCAGTCAGAGAACTAGTTACTGTAGCGATTCTTGTTTTCTGAAGGTGAACTCCTCTTCTTTTGTGCTTCCAGGCAGGTAATGGGGCAGCATCCAAACCCCATGATGTTCTGGATGTCCTGACTCAATACCGAGGTGTTTCTTGGAGGTGAGTCCCCGTAACTCCCCCCCAATGGGAGGGAACCCGTTTTCTTGGGTTTTGATATGTATAATTGTTTTTTGTAACAAATGGAGGCTTGTGGAGAGTGAATTTGACTTTACATTTTGCGTGGAGGCACACAGTTGTACTTCTATTCATGATAAATAAAATATTCAAGCTAGTGGCTATCTAGAGTATGATGTAGCATGGCTGGAATAGGCCTGGATACACAGATGATGGCGTCCTTGTTAAGATGGTCCCTTTCTCCTCTTACGGTTGTAGCTATTGCAAAGGGGACTTCTAGATCCCAGTGGCATTGCACCACTTGCGCATTCTGCATTGCTGTCCCTGTTCTTTCTATACCCTTTCTGCTCTTCCCCACTGTGGCCCGTGTCACCCATTTGTCTCATTTAAAATCAGTGGTCTATGAAAAGACAGAATGGGATCTTTTTTGTTGCTGCTGTTTCATACACAGTATCTATTTCCTTGACCCTTTCCTGGTATTGCTTACCTCATGCAGAACAGTTTATCGATTACGAGTCAGTACAGGCTATTACATATGCAGCATTTTGTTAGACAGGTCAAAAAGCCACACTGAAGAAAGACAATCATGTTCACTTATTATTCTGCAACTGTATTATTTAACACAAAACCTGTCAGGCTGATTTTCTGTTCATCATTTCTTATCCATCTGAAATACTGCAGCTCTGAAGAGGTTTAAACAGGTACTAGAGCACTTCAAAATACTCTATTCCAAATTAAAGGGATGCTATAGAGGTGTTGTAAGTCCAACTTTTTATATTTTGATCTTTAATAATATTCTACTGACATTTGGAGGGAAAAGTATGCTAGCATTCTCTACAGCATGAAGGAGGGTAAAGAGCACACAGACGTATGATGAATTTTACCAGTCTAGTAGTATTCTTCCAGTTGAGTGAGATGGACGGGAAAGGTATTGAATATACTTATCACTGTGAAATATATGCTTTTAGAGCTTGTTGTTATGGATGCAAAGGATTTGTTAACTAAAAATGGAAGTAATAAGTATTTTAATAGGGACAACAATAGCAAAGATGGTAGCTTTTAAAAATTCTCATTTCTTTCAGCTAGGTTTGAACTTATGTTAAAACACATGAGAGAATTGAAAGGGCAGCTAGTGTACAGGGCTTTTAATATAATTATTATTATTATGACAGAATCTCTGATTTTGTGACCCCATTGGTATGCACACAAAGAGCTTGCTTTGACTTAGTACAACCACCAGAGAACGTGCTGCGTACATGTGTAGAAACCCCATAAGGGGGAGCTGCCTTACCAAGTCCATCATATCTTGGAACATTTTTTTCTTCTTCTTTCTTTTTATTAGTGTTGGAGGAAATGAAAACATAAGCACAGTCACGACACTAGCAAGTAAGTGCCTTTTTCTGTAAACTTGATCAATACCTGGAGCTGTTTATTAAAACAGCCATTATTATAAAAGAAGACATGAAGAAAGCTTTACAATTTGTAGCATGACAGAACCAATCCCTTTGTATTCAATGTCCAGTGCCAAGTAAAAGTTGCATAACAACGAGGCTGTAATTTGCTGTGCATGACTTAACTATGTATTTTGTAATTCCTAGGGGTTTGTTGTTTCAGTATTCTTCTGTTGGTTATAGTTCTGTCCAAAATGTGTTGGGGGTAGATGAATCAAAGATCTTAGATCATAGCCTAAAGAAACTATTTTGACTGTATGGGAAAGTTGTTTTAAGCGGGAGCAGTATCATGTTACAAGATCAGATTTTACATGCTTTTTAGAGGTCAGGGCATTTTAGATCTGGGGTGTTTGTAAGGCTGGTTTGTAACCTGAGATCTAGAAGGGAATCTTAGGTCTTTGGGATTAATACATCTGGGGAAATCAGGCTAAAGGATTTGATTCCAACCCATGTGCAGTTGTATGACGGCATGAGAGTCTCCTGCCTGAGCATAGGGTTACTCAGCCTCACTTACCAGGCAAAATGGCATTGCTAGCCAAGATGATCACGTTAGGTCATGAGATATCTGAATTCATGAAATTCAGAAATCTTGAAGGCAAGGAAGTAGTTGTATGATGACAAATCTCCACGTTTATCATACTTAAAGGTTAATTTTTTTATAGGTATCTCTTAAAGCTTTTTAATGGTCTTTTACTAAGGTCTAATCTTTATAACCTCATTTCTTACCTGCTGAAGTAAGCAACATTTTACGGTGCTGTCTTTTTCTGCAGACATTCTTCGTGAGTTCAACCCATCCCTGATAGGGTATTCCATTGGCATTGGAAAGGAGACTACAAATAATGCTGCACTCAACCAAGCTGTGGCAGGGGATCGTGCAGAGTAAGAGGAAAAGTCTTTTTATTTTAATAGAAAGTTAATTTTTCTTTAAAACTCAGTTCTAGCTAAAATAGGCCTGAACCCTGGACTTTGGCAGGAGTGCAATAAGGCTCATAGGCAAGCCCAAATATATTTCTTTAGCTCACCTCTAGCATGAAGGCCAAGAAATGTGATGGGGACTTTGCACTGTTTCTAGTCTATGTCAAATAAATGAGCAGCAAAAGCAATGCTTTCTCGAGCATTTTCAACCAAGAAGCACAAAGCACTTTACAAGCCCTGGTCGGAAAGCTTCCCATCCCTATTGTGAGACAGAGAAAAAAAAATCCCCATTTTATAGGAGGTATATTCGAACCCTCTTGTCAGTAGGGCCAAGAGTTCATCTAGAGAAACTAAGACAGAGAAAATTGTGAATTGCTTATGGTCAGTCTGTGGCAGAGCCGGGAATTACCTAGAGACCACTATGCTCAGTCTTCAGTGAAATTCATATCATACCTTTCTCTCTTGGGAGCACTTCTTATGAGACATGCATCAGTGGCTTGAGGCCGTGTAATAACATTAATATAAGCATGGATGCTTCAGTGATACATGTATCAATAGCATCTGTCTGATGTTGAGAAGGAACAAAGTACATTATTTTGTGGTAGCACAGTGTATTTTCTATATAGTTTGTAAAAGTGTAACTATGCAGCGTTTGCAAAGTTGTCAAGTGCCTGTTGGATGCTAATTGTTTTCTCACTTTTTTTCCCATCACTGTTTCAAAATACAGCCTTTTTTAGGTATCATACCTCTCATTCAATGAAAACTGGACTTTCCCAGGTTTTTTTAGCCATTATGTGAGGAATGTCCATTCATCAGCTTTCCTCTTTGTCCTGCTGCCTATGCAGGGTTCCTTTTTAATTTTTATTATTTTACTTCTATGATTTTATTTTTCTTTTCTTTTTAGGGATGTTCCTGCACAGGTTAGAAGACTGGTGGACCGAATGAAGAATGATACTGTGAGTTTGATATGTCATTAATATCTTTAGAAAGATGAAGTTATGTGGCATCATTAGTTTCTAACAGACCAACAGCAGATGCCAAACATTAAAGCTATCGGTACAGCAGTGTACTGTGTAATATTCCCCAGTGCAGAGTGTGAGTCAGTACAAAATAATCTATAGTTTTGTCTTAAATGAATTCGTACCAGCATGTGATAGTTACTGTCAAACCCAGTTAATTGTATTCTTCTTATCATTTTTACCACAAGTGGCGGGTAAATTCAGTGCTGTTGCTTCCCCTCCCAACCTACATCACCCTGTAAGATGACAGAACTTTTTATCTGCCAGGATTTTGCTGTGGTACCAGTAACTGTCTTGTAAGCACATGGTTTTGCCAGCAGTAATTATATGTGCTAGGATGTTGAGGGCAAGCTTTTCAAGTGGCAAATCATGTGGAGTGAACATGTGAAGTGAGGAGAGGACTTGTTTTCTTTAAAAACAACAGTCTCTTCTTTCACTTAGTCATCAGCTGATTTTTGACTTACACGTTTGTTGTTAGGAATTATTTGATTAATGGTCTGTAAAACATATTAGGCTGAGGATTGCTTGCATAATTTTCACCTCAACGATTGTTTTGTATGTTTGCTATTTGTAATTTGACAAATGTGCTATGCAATCAGTGACCTAAGTTACATGATATTATTTTGGCTTTCCAATTGTGCATTTGGAAAGCAGCCAAAAAGCCTTGAAGATAACTGTGTGTTATAGTATAAATACTCTGGTGAATACATATTGGCAAAAATATTTGCAGTACCTTCCTTTTTGGTTCACTTTCCCATAAACAAGATTTCACTGTGATGGCTGTATCTGAAATGAGATTAAAAGGGATAGCAGCTAACAATGAAGCGGTTGGATCGTTTTCATTCAAACCATTCGAGGCTTCTAAGTACTATTCTGTCATATTTATCGGCTTGGAAACATCACACAGCAGAAATGAATGCAAATACCTTTTATTTAACTGATAAACTTCTTTATTTAATTAATAAACTTATTTCTAGCTAGAAAGAATGTTCATATATCATATAGGTCATATATCTTTGATTTAAGAGCTCCTTTTTTTCTTTTTAAAACACCTTTTTAGTGCAGGAGGAAAATTTTCCCCTCTTTTAATTTGGATAAGTACGTTTTGAGACCAAACTACTGAACAGTGTTTTTACCAGGTTGGATACGTTGCCTTCTGCCTTTGAAGATAGATGTTTTTAAACCACTTGAGGCTGATATACTATTGCTGCTTTTCTTGGTGTTTTGCATGGAAATTGAAGCATTAAGATATTGAGTACAATATCAGCTACACACGGTACTAAGCATATCTGAACTTTTCCTCAAAGCTAAGAAGGTGTGTGTTTACTGAAGAATAATTACCCTGCATTAGCTAGCCCTTTGCAAAATCCTTCCAGAGGAAAAAGTGCTATAACTTTTTACCTGTATTGTTAGATAGAGTTAATATTGCCCCTCTATTCTTTGCAGTTTTTCTCACAGCAAGACCAAAATGTATTGCCCTCCAGGGTTTTCCAGCAGGATAGCTGCATTATTTATGACACAGTAAAACATATACCGTCATTTTTGCAACGAAGATACATTCCTAGACCTGCAGGAGGAGTCACTCAGTGTATACACAAGATATTACTAAGAAAAGCATACAGATGGATTTTGAGCAATAGTTTTCTGAAGCAAATAATTTTGCATGGTACTACTGATATTGTAAACCTTATTTAGATCTTAGTAGTTTCTACATCTTCAGTCATGACTACAAATTCATTTTTGTTGTGGATGCTTAGAGAACTATAGCCAGGTACCCTGAGAAATGTTAAATTTGTGTTTATTATGTTGCCTGCCCCCCTCCCCTCCCCTTTCTTTTTTTTTTTTGTTTTTAAATTAATAACTTTCATTCCATCTCCTTCTGTGTGCAGAGAATAAATTTACAGACTGACTGGAAGCTCATAACACTTTTCATAGGAGGAAATGACCTATGCAAATTCTGCAAGAATCCAGTAAGTCACCTGCTGCCTGCAGCGTGAACTGGGCCAGCCTGGGCAGAGGGTCTCTATACATTGCAGTGGGTGAGAGGGCAGAACTCAGTGGGTGGGACCAAAATAAGGTAGGTCTTATTTGTGCAGCTCTGGAATGTAACTGTACTGAGACCTTCAGGTTGTTCAACCTGATGTCATGATAAACGAAGTTTTATCTTTAGAACACCTGTAAATTACATAACTGTGGCTACATTGTTTTGCTGTTAACTAAGATAACTTTCCATTATCTAGTCACTTTACCACCGGTAGATAAAAGGTCAAGGGTTTTTGCTCTTCTTTGCCTTGTGCACAGTCACACTCCTAAGTCTCACTCGGTGTTCTCTTACCAGTTTCAGTACTATGGGAATGATTCTACCCACAGCTCATGCTGATGCAATTATATATAATATAGTATATATTGTGTATATATATAATATATATACATACTGTATATAGCCTTTGCTATGTGTGAGTATAGAGGAGGTGAAAGGCTGTGGCAGACTCCTCACATAGTGATGAGTCTTACCTACTGACAAGCAGCAGAGCACATAATTTTAATTCTGCATGACTAATGTCAGATCAGGAAAAACAGCAAAGTGGCAAAATAAGATGGTTAAAACACAAGGAAGGAGCAAATTAACCATTCCTACCACCTTCTGCTCCTGACCCAGACACAAATGGGCAGTCGCTCATGAGTGTGGGTGGCAAGGAGATAGCACATCTGCATCCAAAGATCACAGTGATACTTCGTTTATGTTGCACAGCTACAAATAGTGCCAACCACAATGCTCTTGGTGAGCTGTGATTTAGGAAATGAATAAGGGAACTGAGCTGCCTAGTTTTGTAGAGTAGGCCAGTGGGGCTCTCAATGAACTTCTGCTTGAAATTAAATCAAAGAGAATTAAGGCTGAAAATAAGACAGACGTTTCTCATAGCGAAATTTGACTGTTGAATAGTTCCACAAGTGAAGAAATAAAAATTGGATTACTTGAAACAATTCAATTAGAGGGTTTAAACTACCCAAACAGAACAGGGAAATTTTGCTGCTGAGAGGCAAGTATGTAAAGTGATTTCATTCCCAGATAAACGCCTAAGCTTTGCCAGTTATTATTTGTGGCAGGTAAGGTTGCTAATATTCCATACAGCAGAAACAAACTTACTTTTTCACAAACTGATCTCTCCCAAAGATGATCCCTGTTAGTGAGATGTTAGCCGTGCTTTTAAGACTGGCCTGAGCAAGCCTGGGGATGGAGGATGTTGTGATGTCTGATAATGCCCCCTGAATTTGCTCCCTCACTGGTATCCAGTGGCCGCTGGATCTTGTGAGTGAGACAGCTGTGATGGGAAAGAAGAAAAGCAGAGACAGGACAGTTTTGCCTAAGACTCTGTTACTCTTGACCTAAGAGTTAGAAACATGAATGCTGCTGTGAGAGACTCCAGCTAGTCACTGTTGTGCCTGCTTGAGTAAACTGATTGACAATAGAATTCAACCCTCTTGTTTCAACAGGTACACTATTCTCCTGAAAACTACACCTACAATCTACAAACAGCTTTGGACATACTTCACAGAGAGGTAAAACAAACTTTTCTAGTACGTGGGAGTGGGAATTGTGTTCTGTTTGTAAAGCAGTCACTGATTATTGATTAAGAATTTAGTTCCCTGCTTTCATCTGTGGAGCACTGCTGCATGCAGAGGTGCTTGCTTGCAGGAAAATCTTTGTGAGAGGCAGAAAGGGCTGGAGAAGTATTTTACCGAAGGAATAAGGATGTGCTTGGTTCTAGCTGATGCGCTGTGGACAAATAACGTAAAAAGTATTGTAATGAATTTGAACAAACATATGGTATTCAATGGCTAGAAAATGCTTTGCTCATTCATTATACTGCAAATCAGTATATTTTTTTGTGGTCATGGAGAGAGATTCTGATATTCCAGATGAGGGTGAGGATAATGAGAGTTCTCAGAGTTAGCAGGTGTCTGAGCCGTGCTGAGACCTGTAACAACTTGTTTGGACCTTTTTGAAGTCATCATTTTCAAGTGACCAGCCATCAGCATTTAAATTAGAACTAGGCAGCGCAGGCAGGGGCTGTAATTTAGTATTATACATGTGGGGGATTAATTACTGAGAAAGTACTTTGAACACCTCTGTTATAAATAATGCAAGCTGCCTGAATCAGCAGGCTGCTACCTGAGGTCTGCTGTGGCTGTGTAGGGGCAAAGATGGCACTCTCTACTGCGGGCATTGGCTATGGGTTTGCTTATTCTTTTGACAGGTTCCACGGGCATTTGTGAACCTGGTGACAGTGCTTTCCATAGCAAGCCTCCGGGAGCTGCATGCATCAGAAAATAGTACCTGCCCAAAGCTGCTTATGAGGTTCAAAGATGATTTATGTTACAGCTCTCGCTGTTGCTCACAGAAGGCTGCAAGGTCTTCTCGGGGAAACTTTTTTCTTAAAGGGAAAAGGTTCTAGTATTTCAGACCACCAAACACCTTCCTCTGTGTATGCACATGTACCTTCGTGTTGATTTCAACACAGCATTTAGAAATACCCGTCAGTCACTGTCTCTGTATCTGAGCCCTGCTGTTACCACTTTTTGTGGAGGTGCCATTTTAATGACTCATCACTTACTCTGCAAGGGAGCTCAAGCCAGAGCAGAAAGAGCTCAGCTGTGCACTCTTTGGGCGAAGACAGAGAAGAGATTAAGACACAAGCTTTTCTTAGTTGATCGCTTTAATCTAGCTTTCTTTACAGATTTACCTTTCTGCAGTCTTAAAACTCTCCCTCTTGCTTCTGTAGTTTCCAATCTCTGTAATCTCATTGCTGATTATTAGTTTTATTGTTAATTAGTCTCTCAAGTAGATGTCTGGGATGCTTAATCATGCTACCTGTTGCCTCATGGCTCAATAATCCTCCCAGGTCACCGTGAATCCACCACTGAGGTGGCAGGTCTGCACTTCAGTGAGCTTCTGGTGACTCAGGTAGGGTCCAGCGTGTCCCCCCAGACTTGCTCCTGGCAGGACTTGCTTGGTTGCAGAAAAGCAAATCTCTGCTTTTCTGGACAGACAGGCAGAATAACCTTGTCCTGTGAATGTAGGAGGCATTGCTCCTCCTGCTGCTTGGGCCAAGGAGCTGGTATCGGCTACCATCAGCATGGACTGTAAGAGTTAGCTTGGAGGCCAGAGTCACAGGAGAACTAGAGGGTCTACCGTACCCAGCTGCCTCGCTAAAACATCTGCTTTGAATCCATCAGCCACGAGGGACTCTGCAGCTGCTGACAGGGGAAGTGCGGACACCTGAAGGGCCCCATGAAAAAAGGTGGTTTTACAGGAGGAACACAGATGCAACCCTCTTGCTCTGATTTAAGGGCTTTCTGGTGGCTGTCAGTGGAAAATTAACTTTTAAACTCAGGGTGCTGGCGCTTCCGATAACGAGTTGTAGTTTTTCTTTTTAACAAAGGTCACTGGCTAGAGTGCACTTATAACTCAAGACCGTAATCATTGGACAAGGATAGTTAGTGGAGCCTTTAAGATTAGATTATCTCAAGATACCTGTAACCTTTTCCCATCATTTCAGATACCATGTTGAATTTAACATTTGCCTGTCTGGCAGTAAGACAAGTTTACAGGGTACTAAGCAGACCCTGTGTGGGATAATAAATATCATGCTACTGATTTGAAGAAGGACCTGAAGGAGGCTTTTGATCTTGAAAGCTTGTCTCTCTTTTTTTTTCCTCTTTTTTTTTTTTCTTTTATTCTGAGAGTAGCAAATAACCTAAGAAGAGATTAAGTCTCCGCTAATTTTGCCTTGTTTATGTTACTGAAACACTTCTGAAAATACAATTTAGGTTTGTATTGCCTTTCATATAGATGTACTGCAGAAGTAAAATCTTGTTTTGTTAGTTGCTCTGCATTAAGACAAGTTTGGAGGTAGAGATCTGTGTATACTTTATAGATATCAACTGCATCTCTATAGGAGGTATTTCTCTAAGAGCTCTCTCAGGGATGCTTTAGTATGATCACATGGCTGGATTTTTGAAAGGAGTCCTTTCTCTCATTTGGGTTTCTCAAGTTATAATGAGGTGTGCCCAGGAAGGGGGAGCATCAGAAGAAAAAAAATCATGTGCTAGAAGGATCAAAATTTCAGGGAGGGATATCAAGGTGGCCAGGATGAATTCACAGAAACTTAAAATAGCTCATGTTGGAATGGGTCTCTAAGGATGCAGATTCCAGCATCAATCTTGGCATCTGTTTTTGTGCCCTACCATCCTCCATGTGAAACATCCTGCAACTTGTGACCCTCTCAGTTGATTAGAGTGAATTTGCGGTTACTCTGTTTTGAAGGATGCTTGCATAGTTCTGCTGAAGCAAACCACATTGCGCAGGTGTACATATGAACAGTGTTTTTGGTGGGTTGGTCCCAGGTGGCAGCCAAGCACCCTCGCAGCTGCTCATTCACTCCACCCCAGCAGCACTGGGGAGAAAACAAGAGGAACGTGAGCAAGAAAACTCATGGGTCAAAATAAAGACAGGGAAATCACTTACCAAGTACCACTGCAGGCAAAACAGATTTGACTCAGGGAACTTAACTGAATTTATTGTCCATTAGCATAAATATTTAATTACTGATTCCGGTATTGGGAAATGAACAAACAAAAAAGTTAAACACTTAAAGCACCTATCCTCCCTAATTCCCAGGCTCAACTTCACTCCAAGCACCTCTCCCTCCCACCTTGTTACTGCCACAAGGTACCCTCAGTCCCTTCAGTGAGGCATGGGTGACGCAGGGGGTCAGGGTCTGGATGTAGCGGTACTTCTCTGCTGCTCCTTCCTTCCCACTCTTGTCCTGTGCTCTGGCTTGAGTCCTTCAGATGTGTGCCTGCTCCGGCGTGGGCTCATCCACAGGCTGCTGTCCCTTCAGGGAACTGCCTGCTCTGCCACAGAACACCTCTTCCTCATTCCCGCTGTTGTTCTCTCCTCCACTCCCTCTCTGGTGTTTTCTGCCCTTTCTTAAACAGAGGCACCACCACCTTGGCTGACAGGCTCAGCTGTGCCCTGTGGTGGGTCCATTGAAGCTGTCTGGAACCAGCTGTGTCCAGCACAGGCAGCTCTGGACTTTCCTCACAGAAGTCACTCCTGCTGCCAAAACCTTGCCATGGGCACCCAGTACGGTTTTTTGTACCTCAAGAATCAGGGCTGTGTAGAAACTCAGAGGTGAGAGCTAATGCTCCCACTGAGCAGCCTTTCAGAGAAATCCTGCTCAGAGAAGCTTTTAACCCTGCAGCTTGTCAGCTTGGGAACAGGGGAAAAAAGAGGAGCAGATCTCAGTGCCATGCTCTCATCCCACAGTTTCCTGTGCCCTTGTGTCATAAACCCTGAGGACAATTCCAATGCGTTCAAGAAGTTGGTCTACTTTAACAGAAGGTATCAGGTAAGACATGTGGCATTTGTTACAGGTTTAATGTCATCCTCCTGTTGATCAAGGGACCACAGGGGGCTAACATTTGGAGGTGGGGGACAGTTTCCACTCATTTTAATGGCATATTTGTAGTTGTGATTTAAAAAAAAAAAAAAAGGTGAGGGTGGGATGAGAGTAGGCTCAAGATCTTTACAACTCTGATTCACTAAAACAACAAAACAGATGAGGAAAAAAAACTGTTAAGGAGCCATATAAAGTAGAGTATGTCAGAGAGCCAGCAGTTTTTTGATCACTTATCTCGTTGGAGATCAGATTAAGACAAAGAACATGATAACTCGGGAACAAACTTCAGGCATGGGCTGTCAGCCAAACCAAAAACGCTTTGGTGGTTCTGGAAGAACATCTTTTTGACAGAAAATCTAATTACTGAGCAGGTTGCCTGTCCATGTCAGTCAGGCTGCCTCTCTGCAAAGAAGCCCAGGACGCACGTCTCAAAAAGACAGCTGTGTCGGCTGCCTGGCGCGAGCTGGAAACCATGGCCGCGCCTCTGCACTAGGGAGGGGGAACCCCTGGGTGAGATGTAAATGGACAGAGAGACTCGATGAGCTGAACATAAAAGAAGGAACAGTGACAAGTTTTCTTGGACTCTTTAGGAGAGAACCCGCCAGTTAGTGGAGAGCGGAAGGTATGACACTACAGATGATTTCACAGTGGTTATACAGCCATTTCTGATGAATGTGAACATGCCAAAAACACAGGTAAAAACAACCAAAAAACCCACCCCTACATTAAATTCTGGTGCAATTCCACTGACTTTGAAAAGTTGTCTTGGCTGTAAATGTGACCAGCAGTTTTCTGCCCTAATTATTGTATTCAGTTGAGTTAACATCCAAAATTGCAAAAAATGCTTATGGAATAACTTGGAGATAATGGGCAACAGGAATACAGACCTTGAAGACACGATTTTGGGCACTGAGTCCACTCCACTGCAATCAGACAACAATGCAGTAGATTTTTAGTTCAAAGTCTTCACCAGGGAGCACTCACCCTATATCGCCCATGTATCACAAAGTCCCTTCCAGTACTTTGGTAAATGACTTTTAGTACGAAAACCCACGTGCTTCAAAAGACTAGTGTGTGTGAATCTCAGGGGAAATAAAGAATACAATCGATACCTGTTCCCAGGTATTCTGTACCCAGAGTCATAGTGGTCTGTATTCCTTATTACTTTGGAAATCCTATATTAAAAAAGCTTTAAAAGGCTTCTTAGTTCTGAGTTACTAGCATTCTCTGGCCCGGTTTAATTCTCTTGGCCTCAGAGGCCTTTGCAGCTACTTCATTTTGAAGTCGGCTGGGATACCTCACTGGAAGAGAGAGGGGATAAGGCACAGCTTGTTGCACATTTACTGCCTCTGTGACAGCGTCTGTCTCGTCCTCTAGGAAGGGTTGCCGGACAGTTCATATTTTGCCCCAGACTGTTTCCACTTCAGCCAGAAGTGTCATTCCCAGGCTGCTCGTGCTTTGTGGAACAACATGGTAAGATTTTTAAAGGTTGTATTGGTCGCTCCTTGTCTGCTCCATCCTGCCCTTGGCAGCCAAAAAAACCCCAGGGAGCTACTATGTAGCTAGCCCTATGTCTTCTGGACCTAAAAGCATTTACAAAGGAAGAGGGATCATGTGAAGAAAGGTCACCTGAGCTGTTAAACCAGTCATATCAAACCAGTAAACCTCAGGGTATGTTAAGGCTGGGGGTGTTGGACTTCTCTCAGGGAGATGATGCCTGCCTGGCACATTGATCATCAGGCCATGTTCATGGTGTATGGGAATTAGCCTCTTCAGCACGCAAAGCAGCAGTGCGTGGAGGCAGCCACCAGCACGGGTGCAGTGCACGGCAGTTGTCTTGCTGTGCTGCAGAGGTGGTTTCCAGTGTCTGGTAGCAGTGTTACCCATTGCTCTCTGATACTTACTCATTCTTCTCTGCGCTGCCCCCTTTTTCCCCCAGCTGGAACCCTTAGGGGAGAAGACAGATAATCAGCAAATAGAAGATAAGATTGTTCTCAAATGTCCAAGTGAGGTAAGTTACAAGGGTATCTGTGTTTGTGTAGAGGTGCTGGCGGTGGCTGGGAGTCTGCGTGAGCCTGGAGCGCTGTCTCTGTAAGAGGGGTCTGACTCTTCCCTGCATAGTCTGTGCCACTGCCACCGGTAGCAGTATGAATGCTCCCCCATGAGATGGAGGGCAAGCTCATCCTAGGAGTAAGCTTACTCACAGCCACACATCACGGTTGGCTGAAACACAAGGGAAGGTTGCTTGGCCTACCTGGTCAAGACCATCAAGTATCCACACTGAATGACAGAGCTTCAGTGGGGGAAACAGAGCAACGATGGCGCCAGTCAGCACAGCTCTGCAGAGGTCACTGGGACTACCTTCCAGTGGGACCACAAGCTTCCTGTTAATCACACACAGCAGGGTCTCAAGCGTGTTCTGTAAGTTCTGGCTGTGCAAAAATAGTGCCCCAGGTTTACACTGTTATTGTATGAGTTTTAAAAGTGCCATTTCTTTCTTTCTTTTTTTAATCCCTGGGATTCATTTGCTTCAAGTTGCTAATCATCTACAGACATCTGAGAACTGAAGGTTGGGGAATGGAAATCTCCATGTATTCTTCTGATGCTTTTCACTGACTCCGATTACCTTGTTTTGTAGGCTGAGCCATTCCTGAGGACATATAAGAACAGTAATTACACATACCCTAACCAAACTCCAGTAAGTGTCAACATCACCATCTCACTGTTACTCTGCTGCATCTGCTCCTGTATGGTAACCAGATGAGTCATGCTCTGCACCACAGGTGAAATCAGTCTTTGGCCAAAGGGGTTAGGGAGGCTGAGTGCATGGCAGGGAACAGGAAAGCATTCCCTGAGTTAGGCAAAATGTATCCAGAAACACCCGTAAGAACACATGCTCAGACAGCACGGTTATCGGTACAGGATGCTACTCTAATCCGAGCAATACTGAATATGACTATTGAATTGAGCAACCAAGACCTGTCTGGTTAATTACATGCTAAACCGGCTTTGGTTTATCCACCTGGCCTCTATGAGGAAGATCCTAGTTACTACGGACTATATTTCCTAGCCAAATGGTATTCAGCTTTCTTCTTCTCTTTAGAATTATGGAAGCCAGCTGCTATGCGAGGACAGGTCTCCATCCTCCCCTCCTGCAACTTCAGGTAGTCTTGCCTATTTTGTGTTAAGAGGCTGAATTACTTTCAACTGTCCTTCAAGATGAGTTTTTATTTTTGCTGAAATGACTGCTGGACTGTGAAAAATACTGCCCAGAAAAGATGTCATGTTTTTCAGCAGCTGCTTAATAGATACAAAGCCATACTGTCACTCAAGGTAACATTCTGACTAAGTAGCTCCACTTAACTCACTGCCAGTGGAGAACTTCAAAATACCTCATGATAAAATCCAAATCTGTGTGCTGACATAGCCTATAAGTGATACCACCTAAATCTTGGGGAAGGAAACTGGAAATCCAGCTTCACGCATGTTAGTCTAGGATATAGCAGTATTCAGTTTTTCAAATAACCTCATATTGTCTTCTCTTTAGTCCTTCTCTGCCTTCTTATAGCTTTAATATGCTGTTCCTGCTTTGTCTAATACTGCATTGTTTTACCTTCATCTTGGTGCTGGATATTGTTTGCAACTTACTGTTATTTGCTACTGAAAACACAGAAGAGCAAGGAGCAATGTTAACCATTGAGATGCTGAATAATACGCATATGCTGCTGCTACAACCACATGTGATGAGCTGGAGAGAGCTCCTGTTTTATCAGCTGGTATTGCAAAAACAACATGTCTGAGCATCAGAATGCACAATGGCATGTTTCACATATACAGTGGTGAAAAACAATAGCTATTTCCTATCCAGGTTCAGCTGCATCTCTTTCCTTTACAGTGCATTCCCTAAAGCCAGCTGATGTGAAAATTATAGCAGCCCTTGGGGATTCTTTGACGGTAAGAAGATGGTGTTTTTACTGTTCTCTTGGTAAAACTACAAACATGTGCCTGCTCCGGTGGAGGGGAAATAGCTGTTGTACCTAGAAGCAAAGATCCATTCATTCATGGATGATAATAGATCTAGCAGCTAGAACAAGAAAGCAGGTGTCAGTTCTCCAGCACTCTGTTCCCCCTACACACATATTCACATGCTTTTGAACTCAGGCAAAAAAACCAGCCAAATCCTTTAAGGAGGTGCTTAAATAGTTTGCTGAATTGGAGACAGAAGAGATCAGATGCTGTTGAAATTAATGGGACATAGCACAAGCCTCAGGTTACTGTGTTTTTCAAAGTTTTTCTGAATAGGAACGGGCTGGTGAACCTGTTCTTTTGCCTTGGTTCTTTCAGGAACACAGTGTGACTAAGGGATGTTGGATAATAGCATTTTATTCATTTTAGCATTAATGAGATAAGGATGTACAGGGGTGAGAGCCCTCTGACTTTATCCATTTTAGAAGATATTCGGTCTTTTTATTGTGCCTGTTTTAACTCATAGCTAATTTCTTTATCAAGATGTAGTTCTTGCTGAGGATGATTATCTTTGGTAGCCTAGAAGGAATATGTCTCAAGATCCAGACATCCTATATTCCAATTATGCCTTTCTGCCTAATATTTTCATACTGGTCAAAGGCTGAAATTCTACAGCCAGCTCAAAGGAAACACTGGGCAGAAAGACGTAATTGGAACATAGGTTTCTCTGAATCTGAGAGCCTTAACAACAAAGACATCGTGTGTACGAACCATGAAGCCTTTACAACTCTCTGGAAGGCATGTTGCTAAAACTCCTACACACAGGAGGCTACTGAAATAAATAGAAGCATTTGAATGCAAACCTGCAATATTGACAAATGACAGATATTCTGTATATAGCTGTGGTTGCCATATTATAATATCCAGGACCCTGCAGGTGTTTCTGCTTCTAAGTATAGTCTGTAGGAACTGAGAATAAAATCTGCTTTCATAGAAAGTGCAGTGGTGCATTGCTGTCTCAGAGCTGCACTTGGCCCATGCATAGTTACTCTGAACACCAGTCTTCCATTAATTCAATAAAGCTAATACATAGGAGAAAAATCTAGTATTGTAGTCTAATCTGAAGTAGTAGCAAATGGTCTGCCTGGTCTTGTGCTGTACTGAAGTACTACCCCGTACCCAAATTTAGCATAGAACTATAGTATCACGGCTGGCAGGCACTCTGCTTCTGAATCCTGGTGCTGTTTTAGGAGGGATGTAGTTGCTAGCTTGCCTTTTTCTTCAGGGTAAGTGTAGAGAGTGCTTTCCTCCTTCCTGTAGTACTACTAAAAGTCTCTCCATTTAGCACAATACTTTTCAAATCAGTGTAAAGGTATTATGGTGCTTCTTTCTGAGATATGTTTTTCTCTGTTGAGTTCATATAGTGTTTCTTATCATTAGCCAAAAAGTTTTGTGTTTGTTTGAGACGTTTTCATCATTCTTGAGTAATGCAACCGTAAAGGAGTTATTCAGCTCACCTAGACCCATGAGAAGAAAGCCTTTGTTCCATGGCTCCATCATATATTTTGTGCGTCATATACAATATGATGCTCATAAATAATTATGAAGGCTATTGATGCATTCTTCAGGAGGAAGGTTGGGGAAAAGCCAGATGCCTTCTAAAGCTTTTGAAGAGATGCATTCAAACGTAAATAAAATTACTGTGTATGAATGACTATTGTGTTAGTAATTGTGCTTCAATTTCATTTGGGTAATGAAAAATAACGTCCAGGCTGGTACCGGAATTGCTTCAGATAATCTCCTGGATTTGGACACTGAATACCGAGGACTGTCTTGGAGGTAAGTCTTCAGCCAAGGTGATGAGGAGATGTGTATCCTCTCCTGTAAAGAATATTACTCTCTTCCACACGTTTTGGGGCTTTCAGCTGTCAGGAAGCTGAAAAAAAAGTTGTTTCTCAGGCTAGCATTTCTTGTGAAGCTGTATCAAGATCCATGATTTGTCATAAAGGAGGCTTCACAGAAAATGTTTTCAGCAATGGATTTTAAGCTAGCCTTTTGACTTCTCTCATGCTTTCATCTTTGGCTGCTTCTGACAATTTATATTTTTTTTGGTGGGATGGCAAGTTGGAAATCTACAAAATTGGAGAAGAATCACTGGAACAAACAAGTCAGAACTGGTTGCTTTTGGGACAACTTCTCAAAGCTTGCTATTTCTGAACTTTTTGTAGCACCATGGAAAACCGTTTGTTTAACTGGAGAACTTTTACCACATGCAGCACAGTCGTAAAAGACTAAATTTTTTTGGTGTGACAATGTAGCTCGGTTGATATTGAGTGAAGCAGTTGTGTGCTGCCCTAACGCCTCTCCATAAGCTGGAGTGTGGCCTCAGTGTGTCCCACCAACTGAAAAGCTGGAGAGAACATACCCCTGTGCAGGAAGCAGGAGAAGAGACTGAGACAACGCTGCTGCAGCTCTCTTGTCACCCAGGGCTGGCTGGCTGCAACACCCTAAGGTGCTGCCTTAGGGTGGCTTCATGAGGCTGGAACTAGCCTCAGAGTCGACCTTCTAATCTGCAGTACTTTAGGGCTCGATCATTCGAGTATGTAGCTGTCTCAGACATTTTTCTGCCATTTCATAGTGATTGACTATACCCCCATACAGCTGCAAGATCATTAAATCCTTCTGGCAAGCATCTTTACCACTGAAACCTCAACCATTCTCCCCAATAGCACTTCCACTCCTGTCCTCTCTACGTAATCTGCTAGATTGATAGTTACTGAATTAATCGCCCTTCGCTTTTTCTCATGATGTGTGGTAGGTTTTCACTTTGCTTATTGTCTGTGTCCAGCTAAGAGATGAGTGACTGGGATTTCTCTTTCTCATTTTAGTATTGGAGGAGATGCGTCATTAGAGAACGTGACAACGCTACCTAGTAAGTAAATGCTTTGCTAGATCTAATTGGCAAGACTGAAGAGAGGGAATGGGCTGATTTCTGATATGTTTACGGAGAGCTCTTAAGTATCTCAAAGCTGTTTTAGAGTAATTGACAAGAACTACCTTTCAAAGAAACAATATCCTAGGACTAATGAATAAAAAGCTGGCTTCATCAGTGAAGCTGAGAAGCAGCTAGAAATTCCCTTCCTTTGTTTTTCCTCTCCCTTCTCAGCTGCTTGGTGAGTGTTATTTGAATTTCTAAATAAGTTTGCTATGTCCATGCTTGTGATGCAATTAACATTTGCTTTTAATAAATATTCCACCACAGCTTTTTCCAAAAAGAGATGTTTGCATAGAGTTAGACCTCTTTGGTAAATAAAGCTGACTACTCATACGTGTAACCTGAAGGGAATAATTTTAACTTTCTCTTCACTGAAACATGCAACTTCCCATAGCTAGGTCTATTGTCAAGGTAAAGCCGCTGGAGTTTCAGTGTGGATCAGCTGTAATAATAAACTTCCATTTGAAGAGGGCCAGTAAACTGTCCTCTGTGTGTTGCCCATTTATTATAAGCAGAATGTAACAAGAATATAATTAGAATAAGCAATTAATTGATTCACTGGCTGCTATTACATTTGACAAAGCCTTCATTACAATGTGGTTAAATTCAGTCTTTGAGATTAAAGTAGCTTTTATAGTGAAAATGGTCACATTGTAAACTATCAGCTGTGAATTACTCTGTCAACTTCCTTTTGGAAACTACTATGGACGTAATGGAGAACGTGGTGGGATTTCATCAGAACCATGCATCTGAGGCTTTCTTCTTCATATTTGTCAGTAGTATGAGATTTTGCACAGCTGTCAACTAGACCCAGATCCTCTAGCTGAAAACGAGCTCCTGCTGGGCTGAAGCCCCCGTCAGGCTCGCTTCATAAAGTCACCATCATATGACTGAGGATTTTACTTTAGGCTTTAACCACTACAACATGAGAGAGAACTGCACACAGTAGTCCTCAATTCCACTCATCTTACCCGCCGGTGACAGTGCAGGGCACAGCAAGCACGTTGCTGTCTGAGTTGCTGCCAGCTAGTGGTCCCTCTCGCCACTGGCTGGTGGATGTAACTAGTTGAGTGGAGGCTGCAGCAGCTGTGCTGTGCTGTCAGAGAGCAAAACTGTGGCAGTGCTGCTGTGTACTAGTCCCTGTAGGCAGGGAGCAGACGTAGGCATTTTCCCTTTGTTGCCATCTTTCTTTTTCAGACATCTTTCAAGAGTTCAATGTTACGATCGTGGGCTATTCGACCGGCACCGGGAGTGAGAATGATTCAAATGCATTCCTTAACCAGGCAGTTCCTGGAGCACAGGCTGAGTACGTAGCCTTCTGTTTTACATTTGCAGGTGATGCATGCTTCATCTAATTCCCTTTCAACTGTCTCATGTGCTGTCACAACTTGCTCTGAAGAGCAAGCAAAACCAGTCTAGTTGGAGTTGAAAATTGGCTCAAAACCTCTTAAATGTATGGGCTTATTTCATAGCTGCACTTTCAAATGAAGCCAACAGTCCTGGTTATGAAATCCGCAAACAAGAAACTGGCAGAAACTGTTGGGTGGTGGTGGTTTCTACTCTTCCTCTTCAACATCTATTCATTTATCTGTTTATCTGTCAATAAATTTCTGAGACCATGGATGTTTTCGGAAAATGAGCATGTAGTGAATTGGTAAAGAGATACTAGGAGAACAACTAGATGAAATCTTCCATAATTCTGGCCTCAGGCTTCTGGATAAGCAAGCAAGAGTGGTCAAGAGAGAGGGGAAAAAACCAGCCACAGTCTGGAATCTGAAGAAAGGAGAATTGCTGATGGTCATATATGGGTTTTGGTGCATTGCGGACCTAGGGATTTTAATGTCTTGCAGTCATCTGAATTTGGCTCTTTGCTTTTAGTCACACCTGGGAGGCTGCATGAGTAGAGCTTTTCTATACTGCTTATCCTAGAAATCCCTGGCTTCTTATTGAAAGAGTCAGTGCTGTTTAATTAACAAAACAGATGGCTGCTGGAATTCAGTCATAGTTTGTGCACAGGTTCTGGCAGACCATGCCAGTTGATATTACCCAGACCTTAATTTCTTTGTTTAAAGAAAAATTCCTCTTAGTTCCCAAAGAGGTCTTGGAAGTGAAGTTCAGAAGCTAAGTGAGGTGTTTGAGTTTGCTGTATTTAGGCAAAGATAGTTAGGATTTATCAGGTATTTTTATTGCTCCCCTATGGGCCTTGAGTAACTTCTGACTCATACTAGTGACCTCAGTAAATACGTGGATTTCCTGACAGAAATAGTCTGCTAGGTGCCCTGATAGATCCTACAGCCTCCCATACCTGAGAGAAGGGATTTTGTTTCCTAGTGATGACTGAATGTATCTGTGTATGTCAGTGAAACATGCAAGGATTATGGCTCTGATTCAGGCATTAATGAGAATTTATTAACATACTTCTATATGCAGCATATATCCAGATTAGCTTCAGCTTTTGCTTGTTATAGGAAAGAATGACATAGGTGCCTGCCTTGTATTTTATATCAGTTAAATCCTAAACAGGCTTTTTGGAGTGGTGAGAGGACTTGAAACAGGATACACAATCTCTTCACTCACCAATATGACTTAAAGCAGTTTGTATCAGTAGCAACCAAGGCATTACTATTAAATAGTTATGTTAGTTGTTTGAAATGAGTTGATGGATGTTAGTCTAATGAAAAGTTGTCTACTTCATCTATACCAATTAGTCTTCTCTCTTCCCATGCAAGCAGCTGGGCTGGATAAACGTGGTAAAGTGGAGCTATCTATGTTCTGCAACCGTGTTTTGTAAACGTTCAGCAAGGAGATGCAGACAACAATTGTCCCAGATTTCTGCTAGTCTTCTGTTGTTTCTCTGTCTCATAACTCTCTGTAGAAAGGTGTGCAAAAGTAAAGTCCTGTAAACTACTACACTAATATCCCTGACCTTTGAGATACTTCTTTTGGGGTTCTGTTCTGTCACATTGTGGCTCTTGATGCATCTGAGAAGATGAATGTATCCTAGTTGAATCTTGAAATATATTACAACATAAGGAAATGTTTCTCCTGCTTTTAGGTATTTGGCCTTGGAATGATGAGGCCATCCAGCATTTATTCTTCATCAGCCAAAAATATCCATTTTCCTATGATTCAGAGGGCAAAAAGAGTCCACCAGCTAATGCTGGTATTTCAGAATCGTTACCTGGCCTGTCTCACTTTTGGATGCTAATCTGGAAACTGCTTTCCAGAGGTGCTGGGACCTTTCTGAAATCAGGTAGTTCTGCACCCTCACCAGCTTTTGGAAACCAGGTGTAAGGCTTTCTTAAAATGAAATCAGTGGCTGCTTTGAAGAGCTCTTTAGTGAACTTGATGGCAATGTAGCAATGCAGGTCTCATTCAGCAAAATGTTCCTAAGCCTATCTGCATTCATTGCCAAAGTGCTTATGTACATGCTGGAGTTAAGGATAGATCTGAAGCATGTTGCTGAAGCAGAGCCTGGCTGATATCTCTGATTTCACGTGGAAAAAAAGGAGGTTAAGAATTTAAGACTGAGAAAAAAGAACAGGTGACAGGAACTGTGAATGTCTGTATTTCCCATTAGAAAACTGTTTCTGTTGATCAAGATCAAAATTTGGCGGAAACTGCAGTTCAAGGACAGGTGATTGCGGGCACTGCTTCATTCAAGATGTTGTTAGATCTTACTGGCTGCATTGGCTCAGGATGCATCAGCACTTCAGTGACTGCATGAGAAATCAAAGGTGTTGCAGACTGTCAGCTCAATAAGTGGTGTTTTCCTCAGATCAATATTGAAGTCAATGCCCTAGATTAGGGGGTTCCACAGTAAGAACAGAAAGAAACTGTGACCACTTGTGGCTTGTGATAGCTTTGGGATATGAATAAGTAGGTTATGACATTGGACAAGGGTAACGGTGAACAGAACTATTGCATGCATACAGTGTCTGTGTCACAAGTAGATGTATGACAGGGCTCATTCCCCAGTAAATACTCTTATGTTAGTGTTAGATCAGTATTCAGTTGGAGGAGGGTGGTGAGAGGTATCTCCTGTTCCTGCAGTAAACACAGCATTGCAAAGGAGAGCTAAGCTCTGGCTACCATACAAAACAAGTGCGATGCTTATTAATGTCAGCTGATATGCTTCCAGAAATGATAGACAGTCAGTGAAGTGTTTCTAACAAGAGCCTGGAGGGAGATGCAGCTCATGCCATACTACAGAGCTGCCTGGAAGGCCAAAGCTTTCCAACCACATTCTCTTTTCTATGCATATTTGAGGATCAACGTGTCAGGGCAGTCAAACAAGGTTGAAGTGTTCAGCCTAGGTAACTCAACATTCATGGCACATATGTATGTGTATGTATACGTATATATACAAAAAAGAGAGAGTGAGCGCTCACCTGGCTATTGGAAAACAGCGAGGCTGTCATCTTAACTTGTCTGAGTAATCTTGAAAGTTTCTTGGGTTTTTAATTACCCTGGAAAGGTAGTGTGCACAGAGCTGTTTTACATAATGGAAAATTAAGTATTGACTCTGAGTGCAGGCTACAGAAATGGGGGAGGTGTACGCAGTGAACTCTGAAACATTTCAGCTTTGCAGGGGGGTGACCTGTGGTTTATGCGCAAATGTTGCTCAAGAGGTCAGTTAAATATTGGGACTTGGGATTCCCTTGTTGTTTTAGTCCACGAGGAATAGATTGATAGCAGCCTAGTTCTAAACAGGCCGTCTGCTTACAAACATGTTGCTGTGTCTGGCTTTTCAGCTGTTTTAGGTGCTAAGCACTGTAATAGAAGCTAAACTTATGGTTCCAGATTAATTACTGAACTTGAGTAAAACCAGTATTCAAGTTCAATTTGATGTTGACTTTCTGCAAAGATGTGAAAGTGTAATTTGATCACGGCAACATGAGGACTGTACTGTCTCATCACCCAACCCTTCCGATATCTGACAATTTGATTTAAGGTGTCTGAAGACCGTTAATGTTGATCTCTCCATAAGGGTGTTTCTTTCACTCACTAGTTGTCCTTCTTCACAGGCACTTACCAGCCCAAGCAAGAAATCTCCTGAGACTAATGAAAACTGATCCTGTAAGTTGCCTGGGATTCCTTTAATCTTACAGCATGAAAAGAAACAGGTGTTGCATCACATGATAGGTCCACCTGCAACGATACGATGTGCATATCACAACGTCAAAGTAATTCAGGCTCGTTACTTTCTTCTTTGTTGCGCAGAGAATTGACTTCAGTGCTGACTGGAAGCTCATAACGGTGCATATTGGAGGCAACGATCTGTGCAACTATTGCAAAGACCCTGTGAGTAGTAGAACCGGTTAACTGAAACTGTAGTGGGACTGTGATGTCAGTGTAGAAACACGTCAAGGGAAATCCATGAATCCTTAGAGCCTTCACAGAAATAGCATGAGTTATATGTGCTGCTGTATGTTTTGATGGTGGTTGTTGCTGACAGTGCCCTGATATAAAAATGGTTACCAGCAACAGAGTATGGTTGTGTTCTCTCTGGCTTACTCCGGGGTAAGAACCACTGTCTTTGCTACTGTCTTTTGACCATGAGCAAAAAATGGAAGGGAAGAAAAGCTTCACTCCTCTGATACGGTAACTGCTCTGCTGCTAGCATGGCCTCTTTAGACATCCAAGAGAGAATTATACTGCTTTGAACTACCACTAGTCCAATCCTACAATTGTCATCAACCCATAACTCACACTGTAGGGAGGTGCTAGGAACAGGTGAGGTATGTATGAGGGAAGTTGCTGCAGTGCTCAATATCATTTGAATTTTATGCTTCTCTGGATTGTGGAGAAGCCTTCAGGGCTGCCATAAGGAGATCATGGGAGTTGAGTGGGTAGGTGGCAGGGAGAGGCCACCTTTCTCTGCCAGCTCTTACTTTCTTGCCTTTAATATGCTAACTTCTTGTGAGCATTTTCAATTCTCCTGCAACCCCTTGTGCTTGAGAAATTTGCTGCTTCTGCAGGAGCCTCACTAGGCATCTTTGCTGCTGCTGCCAAGTTGTACAGCTTTGTTTATAGCTATGACCTTGACTAGCAATGATTTCACCTAGTTTTATGAGAGCTTATCAGCTGGCTGTGAGCACACCTATGGCTGCTTGGTTTATGCTGTTCAGCATGCATTCAGATTGGGTTCCTTTCTGTGTCTTTCCATGAAGGACCCAGTGGATTTGGGTTAAATGTACTGCTACTCAACAAGGTTTAATCAAAATCCAAAATTTCACTGAGTCTTTCTACATTTTAGGTTAACTGATATGTTTAAAATCCCTGGTCTTTAGAAAGAAGCAAGAACATTCTACTGACCACAGTGTTGTATGGCAGAAAAGGAAGTGAATTAATGTGATTCTCCAGCCTCCCAACCAAAATGCCTTGTGTCTCCATTTAGCAGTAATCTCTTCTCTTCTATCAGGATCACTACTCAGCTATGAATTTCATCAGAAGGATTCAAGAAACTCTTGATATTCTGCACAAGCAGGCAAGTGCTGTGAAATTGTCCTGGCATTCTAGCTTGTACTGGTACATGACTGACTGGTGCTAGCTCTTCTGTTTGTTTGGGTTGGGTTTTTTTTTTTCCATTCTGGTACCAAACATATTCCATTGACTTCTACAAAAGCATTTTCTTTTGTCTTGTCTATCTGACAAGATATTGTCTGTCTGTCTATCTATCCATGGTGCTGGAAAAGAATCAAAAGCTGAGTTGAGGGAGTTT